AAAAAAAAAAAAAGAAACATTTACGAAAATGTTGACAGGAAACTTTACTTTAAGGTTTCACGTTTTCAGTGGATCCCCGGAACGCATCTAACATTTTACATGTGTGCATAATGTGTGTGTAACTTTTCTAAGTCACTTTTACATGACGCACGAGAATAAACAATTAACCGCCACAGATTTTTTGTGATCAGTTTAAGAGGTGTATATTTGAAATGACGAAAATTTATATTAATTATTAAATGTAAAGAGTATAAAGCGCGATGCAGGTAATCACATGTATTTTAGCATTACCGCGCTGACATAATAGAGAAATGCATTATTTCATGTGTGTGTGGTCGCTGGGGTGGATTTAAAGGAATCACAGTGGGGCGCAAATACTGTCGATATACTTAATGTAAAACATTTATATGGCAGTGTCCGCTTTCGAACGGTATCGGAAATTTAATATGTGGCATATAACGGAAAAGTCAATAAAGCGATACCGCAGAGACCGAGTGAAAAGGATTGAATTTCTACTCGGAATTGTTTCGTTACCAAAAACACACAACAAGCCGATCGAGTTACACCCGGAATCTATATTTACGTTGGAAATTTTCGACACGCAAAATCAATGCGCCGAAAATCCGCTAAATAAATGTGTAATAATAAATAATCCAGCCGGCAGGCCTCGATTGACTCCTTCGAAACCGTAAGCATGCTGGGTATTTGTGTAAATATCCTAATTAGAGAAATCGGTACACACGGCGTATATTATCGGCGAGACACAGCGGTATTTGACCATGCAGCGTTTCATTATCCGTCGATCGATATCGCACAATACATATCTATAGCTATCGAAAATTTCATTGTAAAATTGTTGCAAAAATTACTCCCGATATATGAAACATTTATAGCAAGATATTTTTTATACAAAAAGTATGTGTACATATATACAATATACTGAGGAAGAAATTTACTAAATTTCAAAAAAACGTTTGTTTGGATAGTACTGTGAAGATATTTGTTTAAATTAAGTAATTATTTTCTAAAATGAAAGAAACAAATTTATATTTAAAACTTCTTTATTTAATTTTAGAAAATAATTACTTAATTTAAACAAATATCTTCACAGTAATATACAAATGTTTTTTGAAATTTAGTAAATTTTTTTCTCAGTGTGTGTATCAATCTGCTATTCATTGGCGGCGATCCGAGAGGTAAAAGATCCTAGAGATAGTTGGCAAAGCGGAACGAAGAGTCCCCAACACACAAATTGTCTGCATTAGGATGCGTTTACGCGTGTTTTTTCGACAAAATCCAAGTCATATTACTTTCATCCGTCCGCGATCTCTCTGCTATTTGTAATATTTTTCCAACTGTCGCGATCACGATCGTGTATAAGGTCTGTGTGTTTAGATATTTGTACACGGAAAAAAAAGATTTACTAATATATGGACAACTAAAAATATTAACTGCAGGAGCAAATTTTCCTGCTTTCATAGTAAAGTTATATAGTTGTGACAGCTAAAAGATTTGCTAATATATATATTATAACTTTGCTATGAAAGCAAGAAAATTTGCTCCTGCAGTTAATATTTTTAGTTGTCCATATATTAGCAAATCTTTTAGCTGTCACAACTATATAACTTTACTATGAAAGCAGGAAAATTTGCTCCTGCAGTTAATATTTTTAGTTGTCCATATATTAGCAAATCTTTTTTTTCCGTGTATTATTTCGAGAAAGACAGAAATATCAGGGGAGAGATATCAGAAGGATAAACGGCGAGGGGACAGGCAGCAGTTGTCGCTTCTCGTGGAAGCCCGTAACGAGAAAATTTGCGCACTCAGGTCAGGAGAGTCATTTCCTCATTTAGTCGATACACGTCGGACTGTGGCGTATGGACCGATGCGCCAACGCGACCAGAAAAATTGGCGTTGTACCGCGCGCGCGACACGGACCTGATGACCCACATCCGCGAGATAACTCGTTACAAAGTATAAATGTGAGGTAAGATGATGACGAAATGTGTAGCTTTCAACGAGCTTTCGCTTCTTCGAAAACACTTGCAACATGAAATATTATTTCCTCGTAGAAGATATTTTACGGAGAGACGAGGATTCTACGTATTTCGTAAAATATCCACTAGTCCAGACACGCAGTATCAGCAGCGACTAAAGAAAATATGGCTACACTTTAGTCGCAATTGTATCTATATGAGAAATGTGTATACACGATCCTACTCCTATATTCTATATACATTAGATCTGTTATCCAAACACCTTTCGACGGAACTTTTCTTCCCCTTATCTGAGTAGGTAAAAGTAAAAGAAAAAGCCTACGTTGCGTTAAGAGAAGCGGAAAGGATAGAAGAGGAGAGGAGAGGAGAGAAGAGAAGAGGAGAAGAGAGGAAAGGAGAAGAGAGGAGAGGAGAAGAGAAGAAAGCAAAGGAGAGGAGAGGAGGGAAAAATCAGCACACGCGCTGATATTGCGCGCGCGCGCACTGAAAGTGTAAATTTCAAGTTAGCTTATTCGAGTGCGGAGTATCGTGCGATAAATTTTTTTCGACGTTGAAACAGTCACGTACGAAGCAGGACTGACTCTCACAATTATAAACTTTGATATAGTTGCGTCGTATCAGCCATTCCGCTTTTGTTACATTTACTTAATCTCCGAGAGTTTTCTTGAGTAAATAGCGCTCGCGCTATTGTTACATAGCCTTGCTAACGGTGCCAAAGCGCGCGTAAAAATTCACGCGATACTACAGGACGTACTTCTCAGATTGCACTCCGTTGCAGCCCACCGCAGCGATGTCGAACTTGTAATTGCGCCGTTTTTCGCAATTTAAAACCCGAAACGCCCGCAGCTCGGCCATCCCCTTCTCCTTCAGGACAATCTCGAACGGTGCCTCGCCATGATGCTTATTGGCGATGCGGAAGGAGCAAACCTTGGTACCCAGAGCTCGGATCTGCGGCGTGACTTCGACCAACGTTTCGTTCTCCTTGACCAGGCCGTGATATCCGCTCTCGAGGCTCTCCAAATCCAATCGTGGAACTGCGGACACACATACATACACACGTGCGACCAATTGCAACGCAACGTCTCTCGTCGTTCGGTCGAAAAGGGAAAGGTTTACTGTTTCTAATGTCAAATGGTCACGACGCGACGCAGAAGAGACCGTCCGTTTTTCAAGTGGACGAACCATCCTACTTCGGGAGAAGGTGGGAAGGGACACCTCATAGTTAAATGTAGGAACTAAAATCGGCATTACGCGACCGATATCACCGTCGAGCGCGCGAATTTACATAACGGCACAAGCCGTTCGTATCGTATCTCGACCGATAAAACGGCCAGCCTGCACACCGCCGCATTGTTCCGCACGATGCTGATATTGCGAGCATTTTATCGATAGAAGAACGCACTACATATTTATAATGCGTTAAGTTTGTGTAAATTTGTGGGCTTTGGATATATACATACATAATATTCATAAACACTCGTCATTCTAACAAGGCGTAAAAATAGGTCGATTTAATGTCGGTTAACAAAACTTTCAAAAGCGCCGATGAAATCAAGCGTCACATAACAAGCAAACTTTTAATAAGCGCTGCAGAATATCCGGCGTGCGTTGCATCATTTTCGCGACCGGTTTAAGAGGAGAAGAATTTTGGCGAAAATGGTTCAAGTAAAACAAAGGAGGCAGCAGCAGTCCTCTCTCTTTCTCTCGTTAACTCGTTATCAACTTCTTTAACATACGTATAATGAGAAAAAGGTTAAACAACCATAGCGTGTGGAGGAGCGCTCGTCCTCGTTTGCGTTCGCAACGTCGGTTCATAATCGCCCGTTGTTAATTACTAACGTTGCCATTTTGAAGCAGTAGTCAACAATTAATATCCAAGTTTGCAACAGCTCTTCCATACACGATGTACACAGTGTGATTTAGAGCAAATGTATGCATGCAGCATTATATTTGTGTCGTCAATTTGGACGACTTTTGCTTCAAGGAAATACCAGAATGTCTTCAGAAATCGTATTGTGCAGTTAAAAAATATACCGTACACGAAGCGTAGTAATTTGTGGATACTAAGTTAGAGATATTATTGATCTTCTTTTTAATTTCGTGTCAATATACGTACACACCTACTAACGTGTGCGCTAATGTAATATCTGTGAATTGCTATGCGCACGCACACAACTAAGCTGCTCTTTTTTTTATCTACATCTTATGGGAAATACATGCGCGCATTTTTCACGACATGCGGGACTTTGCCCAAGTTTCCAAACATATTTCTCAAGATTGGACATTGCTGTTATCTTCAGAAGCAATTTGTATCGCGCTATTATTTTTCTGTTTTTGTGCTAATTACGAAACTTTTATTTAAAGTACAAATTGTCTTATAGATAATCTTAGATTAATAACTGACTTGTAAATCTTTCTTCGTTTTCAATAAAAATATTGTAAAAACGCGATGTCTTGGAATATATATATATATATACAAGGTGTCCCAGATCACCTTCACAATCTCACGTGAGGACGTAGAGCGGATTAAGATAAACACAAAAGTGCAATACCGTTTTGCGATATTCGCAATAAATCTTAAGATATTAATTTAAAAAAATTGGTGAATGATTACGTGCGATATGGTAAATGAGCTGCAGTGGCGCCGTCTGCCGTTGTATACTTGTACATTAAGTCAAATAGAACAAAAAAGTGCTCTACTATTTTGCAAATGACCACATAGATTTTTAAATATTAATCAAAGAGAAAATTGTTACATGATTGTGTACCATAATGCACAAATTTTCTTTAATTAATATCTGAAAATCTATGTGATCATTTGCAAAATGGTAGAGGACTTTTTTGTTCAGTTTGACCTAATGTGTAAGTATACAACGGCAGACGGCGCCACTGCAGCTCATCTACCATATCGCGCGTAATCATTCACCAATTTTTTTAATTAATATCTTGAGATTTATTGCGAATATCGCAAAACGGTACGGGACTTTTGTGCTTATCTCAATCCGCTCTACGTCCTCACGAGAGATTGTGAAGGTGATCTGGGACACCCTGTATATATGTGTGTGTGTGTGTGTGTGTGCTTTAATCGTGCAAAGGGGCTTCTGAATCGGTGCAGTAGGAACGACGTAGGAGCGTAAGGATTTTTATAGGCGTCTGGCGGCACTCCGCGCTGAAGTATCCTCTTAACGAATGACTCTTTTTCTTTTTAGTAAACATGAAACATTTATTTTGACAAAGCTCGTTATGGAAAACTGATCAATTATTCGTCAGCCGATTTCCATATTTTGGCGATCGTAAAAAAATTGACGGAAACAACAACAAACATATTTTAAATAAACTCGGTGTGATGATCTATTTATAATAGATCGCCTTCGGGGCTGTAGTATAAAAGTCAATTATGAAACTTATGCATATTTTTCGATTATCTTGCAATTACGTGACCGTTAAATGCGATGTCAAACGCGTCAAAGCTGACATTTATAAAAATACAATCGTGTCACGAGTTACGATTATTAAATTCCAATAATAAAATACAACATTTCTCCCTCTCTCACTTGAAAATCACGCGAGAGCTGTCGTTGATGCAGTATCAACAGTGACTTTCGTGTCAATGAAACGTATATAATATATATAACGTATAATATTTAGACACACAACACCTGTGTGTAAAACGAGATGTCTGTTTACTGTTACACTCGTTAACGTGAATCGACAATTCGCGGTAAAGACTGTCCCGTAGAAACGTACCAAATGTTTTCCTTGTTCTATAATGTTGTTTCTGAATAAGACGTTTATCGTTATTAATGAAAATCGTAGGGATACTTGCGCACTGCGACTAATATCGTTCAATCGAGCTGAAATATTCGGAATCATCTAATATTTCAGCTGACAATTATATATTACTGCCGTAACCGTTAATGAAATCGTGCGAAATACACTTTGAACAAAGTGCATTATCGCATCGAGGAATATCGAGGCCGACGTTAAAATGCATTTCATTGTCGCGACAAACGAATTATATAAAATGCCAGGAGAATGAATACTCACGCGAGATATTGTGAATCGCGACATTGTGTTGTACCGTGGGCAACGAAACCTTCTAATCTTAGCGACGAGTGATTGGGGGTAATTAACGATCAGTCCTAAGCCGAGAGATGCGCCCAAATATTTTTAACGCGTAACACGATCCCTCCTCCTCTCGAGACGCGCGTCCGGAGAATATTAAATTCACATGGCTTTACTTTCGTTCAGGCTTTGCCCGAAATCGTCTAATTTTACCTCGACTCCTTTTTCGCACGTGATTCACACCTAGTCTGTTATTCCGCACAGCGTGACTAACACCCCGTCATTCGGCGAGCGATCGTAATCAAGTAGCCGCGATCGTTGGAGGGATCCGTTCGCAGGAGACACGCATTCAATTAAGCGACCACGCCAGTATTCTTTGAATCACAATATAGTAATGCACGCAGCGATCGATCGTGTTATCCTTGTCGCCGCGCATTATCGTTTATTGTCGTCAACGGACGTTTCTAACGTGACTTGTCTTTTCGTTCGTGCTTATTCGTACGAGTGATAGATCCGCGAAGAAAAGACCACGATACGAAAGAAGAGATGCGTTAAATTCAACGAAGACACACTCGTTTCAATTATCTGTCTCACACGTGTATCGCTTAGTGGCATCGGCGTTTTGACTGCTTGACCGAATGCACTGTTCTCGGCAACAATTTTGCCCAGCTCGATTGTCTTGGCCGCTCCGCACAGTGTGTCCATTTTACATGAAATCGATTTTTTGGAATTTGGCTGTAATTCTGGTGTGCAAACGCGCGCGCGCGCGCGCGTATGTATTTGTAAGAGATCAATTAATTTCTGTTTTTTTTTTCAAGGCACGAAAAACATGGGATCGGCAAGGAGCAAAAGTGAAGGATTTCCGCTCCGAATTTTTGTCCAACATTCTCCGACACCTTCGTTACGTCATGCAAAGGCCCCGTAAAGCCTCTGACTGGAGGGGACTCCCGATAACAACAACCGAACGCGCCCGTCCTACGGCGTTCCTCGACAGACTCCCCCGCATTCTTGCCAAATCCAATTTGGCGATTTCTCACGTTCCGAATCGGTATAAAAAGGGGGAAAATCGTTCGCGGTAGCAGGGGGTTAACAGCCGCCTTTCTTTCCTCGCCCGTTTCGCACGGCGCGGCATATCGACCGGGTGGGCGCAGTGCAACACTCGACTCGACTCGTCGTCGTGCCGCCGCCGTATCGTGTACGAGAGACAGGCCACACAGGCACACGCGCGCACGTCCAATGATATCGCCATAAGAGTTTCGGCGGCTCGCAGGTGCAACGGACGATAATCGCACACGCACCTGCGAGCCACCGCGAGCGGCCGCAAGCACGATATCGGCGATATCCAAAGGAAAGGAAACAGTTGGGACACGCATACGCAACGGCGATCGGCGATGTGTGTACGATCGACGGTGCGGTGGCGGCGGCGGCGGCGGCGGCGGCGGCGGTGGCGGCGGCGATGGTGGTGGCGGCGGCGGCGGCGTTCGGCCAGGTAAACGGACGCGCGGACGAATGTAGGGCACGGCGCGCGACAGCAGAAATGGAGAGAAAGAGAGAAAGAGGACGAGAGAAATAGCAAATTGTCACCTCCATGATCGTTGCCGAAGTAGCTCGACGGTGTCGACTCGAGGACAGGAATACTCGCGTGGGAGAGGCCAACGCACAGGGCCAGCCCGCAGAGTAGCGCGTTCGTTGTCGCTGGCAGCATATTTGCTCCGCTGCGGATCGTCCCGTCGCCCGTCGTTGTCCTTGTTGTTGCGCTGGTGGTGGTGGTCGTAGTCGTCGTCGTCGACACGAAATAAACCGTCACCTATCTACGAGATGCGACTTACGCACCTTGCGCGTCCGTTTGTCACACTCGGCTTTCGGTGTCTCTCACTCGCGCGTGCACTCGGCAAGCATTCACTTTTTAAAGGAGCATCGCCAACTCAACTGCACACGGACGGACTGATCGACTCTCTCTCGCGCGCGCTTGCTTGCTAAGCTAGCTCGCTCGCTCGCTCGCCGTCGCTCGCTTGTCTGCCCGCCTGCCTTGCCTGCTGCCTGTTCGCCGCGTTCGCTCGCTCGACACAGCACCACACAATCGCGGAGTCAATATTTGAGCGGAATATCGATTCGCCAGTGGAGACGCCAGTGTCGATTCTCCTTATGCTGCTCCGAGGCGGCGCTGTTGTCGCCGTCGTCAGTGCGCACGGCACATTAAGTGCTGTTCACATGGTTCCTTCTACCTCGACTACGAGACAAATGGTTATCCGCGCGCGCAGCTTTCGAGTTCTCGAACGCTCAGATTTCAGCTGCACTTTACCGCAGCACTTGCACGTAAAATTGATGCCTGATATACGATTAAACTTTCGACGAGGAAAGAGAGAAGAAACAATGCATAGACACAAATAAAAAGGCATAATAAACCTCATGTTTCATTGCAAAATACATAACACAACTACATGTGTATAGTTTTGAGGTAGAAAATGATTGTACATAACATACCTCTATAAAATTTCTCAATGTGTTCCAATAACCACATGCGCGCATACAAATAATATTCGCTATATTTTCAATATAGATCAAGTAAAACAGAGAAAGAAATCTCCTTTACTGACTTATGTCGACTTATGTTGTTTTAACCATCATAATCACCATATTCAAAACCAAAGCCGTTCCATCATCAGGTATAACAATAGATTCGTTTAAGCATTCCAGATTCCGAAAATATTCTCCTGATTGGTAGAGTAATGCAATATTGTTTCTATATTAGAGCTCATTCTTGATCTTTCCAGACTCCTGTGATATGTACAGCTGCTTGAAGTTTATACATCAGTGATTGTCATCAGTGTCAAATATTGTCATTCGTGCATCAAGAGTTTCCACTCTGTACTTCACTGGTGTCATCTCTCTAAAATCATCCATACTGATGTCCGATTTATCAATTATTAGTTTATGGGTCGGATCAATATTCTGCGGATACATCGTGTCTCCAGGTAGAACATGCACAATGCCATCCTTCAGTTTTACAAGCACCTGAAATGACATTCATTGCGATACACAATGAAATATAGTAGTATTTTGATGTGTATGAGCGAGTTACTTACGGGAAAATGCAATTGTACGCCTGCTTTGTCACGTTGTACAGCATAATCCATTAGATTATCTATATCTTTAAATTTCGTCTTGAACTTGTGAATCTCGCACTGTTGAGGTGGTGGCAATATAATATCCGTCGCAGACCAAATATTCTCTGGCGTGTCCCACTAAATTCATTTCAAACATTTACTTCTCACAGTGTGGACATACATCAGTTTGAAAGTCAAATCTCTCTCACTTTTAAATCCTCTATCTCGCTAGCTTCGCACTCAGTATCAGGTGGAGATTGTAGGCCAGTCAGATAAAAGGCAGTATCGTAGCGTCTCGATGAATAAGAAGGCGTCAACCAGTTGTTCCATTCGTGCAATGCCCACAAGTCAGGATAGTATTCCAACTTTTGACAGAATGTCAAGAATTCTGCAGCATTGTTGTGAATTTCTCTCTGCCACATTTGCAGCTCCTTTTTGGGGACTAAAAGTGGCGCGTTTGTATTAATCTCGCTGCAATTGATCCGCGAATGTATAACAGTAGTAGCAGCAGTAGCAATAGTAGCGGAGTAGCCGTTTTTTACCTGACAAATGTCGGCCCCAAATGGAAAATGCACGATCGTCCTTTCGCCTACATATCAACACTCCGCACTCCTCGAAAGTCTCGCGAATCGCTGTGATCCGTAGCGAAATATCCCTCGACAGTTCGTTCTGCTGCGCTTGAAAGATTTGTGGTCGCGTCGTAGCTTTCGGCACCAGAGACGTAAAACTGTCACTTTCGAAACCAAAGGCGGCAAAGAGCTTGCACCACTTGGGATCAGAGTCAGCTGGATCTATGTTACCGCCAGGAAAAACGTATGACTGCGGCATGAAATTCGAGTTCTGATGACGTTTCAGGCATAATAGATGGTAGTTGTGCTGAAAGTATACACTGCTGTCGGACAAAATTCATCGTAGACGTTTTCGTGACATTTGTAAGCACCAATTAATAGCGACATCAATAACGTAAAAATAACGCGTATGTCAGTTACATTGTTGAATGGAAAATTGGATTGGTTCAATGAAATTGTTGCGCTTCTAGTCCAAGCAATAGAGTCTAAGGATCATTTCCAGTTGAAAATTTCTGTCAAAGATTGCATTTGTCTCAAGTATTGTGAACTTACAACTGTAGACGACACTGAATTCTTGCAATTTTGTCTGTGACGTGCAATCAGTATTAAACTTGCTGAATTCCGCCAAGGTGTCATTTTTTTGAAACTTCTTATATATATATATGTATATATGTGTATATATATATATATATATATATATATATATATATATATATTCGCTGAAAAATACGCGATAAAAGCTAATGAATATCCAATTATTGCAGTAATGGGAATTTGCCATTTTGCTGACAAATGACGCAATCGACGGTTATCAACTCTTTCATGTTAAATATATCGGAGATACGTCGTTCCTACATATAAAAATATAAAAACAACGAAAACAATCGTTATCTCGACACATTGCATATATTGCATTATCTCATCCTACTGCAAAATACATGCTACATATGTAACTGTTGAGAAACAGTAGTTCTGCTAACCACGACACGATTCGTACAATAAATTATTCTTAATTAATCTTTATTCGTAGAACATACAGTTCCTCAAAAGGCTCTGGGGTTAATAATAATTATGTCAAATTGTTAGATATACAATCTTCAGAAAATGATTTCACGCGAATCTACATATACCATATAACTACGTTTTTTCGTTTATATTATTTTCCGTCTTTCCGGTCGCAGCGATCATCAATTCGTACAATTGGCACACTTGCTCGTCTCGTAGTTTTACGAGATCTTCCTCCTTTAGATATTTCCCGAGCGGTTTCCCCGTATGAGGGCCCCTTAATCCGAGCTGTTCAGCGAGAGAGACTGCATAATCCTGCGAAAAATCAATTAATTACATACATACATACATACATATATACACATATATACTTTGAACGTGAACCGAGCCCCGAGCTGTGCAACTCGTCGATTCCAACAAGACTCTGTTCGAGATATAACCTGACTTAACCTAAATCTAACCTAAATCTAACCTTAACCTAACTTAACTCGCTTTCAAAATCCGTTCTCTCGCTACTTACAGTCCATTCGTGGAGAAAAATGATCGCCTCACTCTCGACGCACTTCTTGTGTCTTCTGAACTCGTCGCGAACGTAATTATCACCTAGGGATTGAATCTCGGCCGGTAGACCGCGATGTAACCTCAAGATCGTCTTATACAGTATTCTGACACGTTGCATATGCGTACGACAAGCCATGACGTGCGTTATTTCATGCGCTAGTCGCGCGTGAGTATTACGGGCTTCTGTTTGCTTCATCAAATCGCTTGTTCAGGACCCGACCGCGCGCGTGCGATCATCGTTATATTACACCGCTCGTTTCGTTCCGTCTATTGCCAACGCCGCGTATCGATTTTCGATGCGAGCAATTTCGCGCGTGGCACCTTGCGAGAAAATTCTCACGCGCAACGGTGAGAAAATCTCGACTAAGAGTACCAGTCGAATTTATTTAGCACGGACAATCGTATGATGTATATTATAATCGTATATTATAATAATGGTTGTTCTATCGGTTAAAAGCCGAAAGAAAAAAATGGAGATATGAAAAGGGGAAAATTTTTGAACTGACTTGAGCGCAAAGTTCGCTCTTTTTGTTTTCCATGTCTTTTATTTTTATTCAATAACATGTGCCGCGTTAACATAACTTTGTTTATCCATTCTAAAAAAAGGCATGTAAAAGATTTAATTGTCGCTTTTCCGCGATGCTGATTGGTTCTCTCGCTTAGCTCACTTCATGTGGGCTTGCTTCGTGTCATTTATGTCTGTCAAATTATTTGTCATCGCGTTGGTTAGCTGACGAAGAAAAGAATATAGAAGAGATATAAATTATAAAAATAGAAAAATAGAGAATAGAAGCGTAGAGAAGAAAAACATAAAAGAAAGGGCAGATAAAGAGAGGAGCATATTATTTAGGCAAAAATAAGTGTAAGAATAAGGTAATTTTACAAGGTAATTTAAAAGATCATTGTAATAATAAAGATGCTAAATAGCGCGCGCGTAGCGCGCGCCTGTAATGTTCTAGTTTTCGTAAAAAGGTGTAACAGAGACAATACACATAGTTATTTTTACACCAAAATATCTATAAAGTTGCTGAAGCTAGCGTCACACATACACACATACACGCCCGCGCGCGCACACGATGCACGATTTCATGCCTTCTGAAGTGCACGCTGACTGACACGCTCCCCATAATTTCGCACACGACGTGTTATATTGCATTTATGACAGACGATTTTTGACGGTCGTTTGGTACCAGGTTTGGATTTGAGTTAATTTAATATCAAAAATTTCATATATGTACTGAATATCTATACACAGCATAAATGTCAGGATACATTTTAGAGGCGTTCCAAAGGTATTTTAGATATATAGATATATAGATATATTAGATATATATTTATATATTAGATATATATATATATATATATATATATATATTTTATATATTAGATATATATTTTATATATATAGATATATATATATATATATATATATATATATTTTATATATTAGATATATATTTTAGATATATAGATATATCTAAATATATATGTATATAGATGTATATAGATAGTATATTTTAGATGTTTATAGTATATGACTATTTAATATCAAATGTTTGGCGTCCAACGACAAACGATCGCCAAAAATCGCCTATTGTTGAATGCAAAGCGATAACACAAATATAATGTAACTTATACTCTCTGTGTTGACTGGATCTAGGCAACTTTCAATTTACTATATACATTTCTCAATGCACGATAGCAATCTAGATAGCACAGAGAATTCAAAAAGAATTCAGTCGTATGTCACCAATTCTTAGTTTATTTTTAGATGCAAAAAGAATTCTTGAACAGTTTAGGGGCCAGATTCTTGAAAATATCTCGCATACATTTAGTGAAAACGTTCGTTACGTATAGTATACGTAATATGAACTATAGCTTTTCACTAAATGTCATATGCGCGATATTTTCGAGAATCTGGCCCCAGTTCAGTGAAAAGAATTCTTTTTGCATTTAAAAATGAACTCAGAATTGGTGACATACGACTGAATTCTTTTTGAATTCTCTGTACTATCTGGGAATTCATGTAGTAGAACTGAGCCGAACTGGAGGCTGCATGCCGAATCGGCGTCAGAAGGCATGAAGTTATACATAGTGTGATGCTAGATTTACACAAATAAATTCCAGTAAACATGATCAAAGTGAATCCTGCTTCCTTGCTGATGTTAATTATCCTCTGGAGATCTCGTGTCTTGAATTTCCTATAATGAGAGAGATTGTATTAACTCGTGTCATTTTTCTAATGTGTATTAATTTATCGAGAATCGAGAAGACGAGTATAGTTTTTTATTTGAGTAGACATTTCTTACCCGGTTCCTCCTTTCGCCGTACTTGGACCAAAATGTAACGTTACATGCAGTCTTTTGTCCGGTCTGCTTATTGAATACGGAGCATGTCGAAAACGGCGGTGAATACAAATGCAATGAAACCGCTGGATTCGTTGTACTTGAATTTTCAACACGATGCAAACCCATGGAATCTCAAATAGAGATGCAAACAGTTTATTTTAAAGTATTCGAAGTGTGTGTATTCGAAGAATTTGCTTATGTTTCAAATTTGAGATCAAATTAATTTAGTGAGCATTTGAAAAAAAATACCATTGATATAACAGATTTCGTTCGTATCGAGTATATTCCTTTCGAGTTCTCTCAGCTCCTCCGGCATACCGTCTTTCGTTTCGGATGTTTCAGGCCACGCGTATCTCGTCTAATGTGTCAAAAAAGACAAGCATATTTTTATCATATCTTAATTATATGCTTGCGCAGGTCGCGCCATGTTATCGAGCAACATTCCAAATGATTTCACAAATGAAAACTATCGCATTTCGTTACCTCGCACAGTTTTCCTTGGAGAATTTTCATCACGCAATGTGCATTAGCGTGATCGTGTATGGCTGATCCGTGACCTTCGCCCCAACACAGCACCATGAGATTAAACCTGCCGTTTCCTTCGTCAACGAGGTTCCTCGTATATCTACACGTAAAGTGCACAAACCGCACAAAGCGTCACGTTATACAAGGTGTGCCAAAATTGTGGAAATTTTTTTTCGAATATCTCGAAAAAAAGCATTTTTTAGGAAAATGTTTCAGACAAAATTTGTAGGGTTTCAGAAGATTTATTTAATGGTCATATCAGTTTTGATCTTGGGTGGCGTCGTCAAGGTCAGATCACGGTCACGTCGATTTTTTTAAAAGGAAATTCCCATTTTTATTGCATATTCTCTCGAGAACTTTTCAAAACACTATAATTAAGTTATTTTTCTTTAAGTACTTTAAGAGTTATAAAGCTTGAAATTTACAGTATCACCGACATTTCTCCGTGCTTAACATTACCCAGGATTAACGACGTGGCGGGGCTCTCACGTTTTGGGATACTCGATTTACGTATCCTTGTTTCTTACGTTTGAGGTGCTTGATTTACCCGAGTCCCTTTGTCTCTTACGTTTCGGATGCTTGATTTACGTGAGTCCCCTTGTCTCTTACGTTTGGGATGCTTGATTTACGTGAGTCCCCTTACCCCTTATGTTTGGAATGTATGTCTGACAAAGCACGAATAGAACGAATAACCAAAATTTGAAGCGCGCCAAGGAAATGAGTCCCCTGGTCTCTTACGTTTGGGATGCTTGATTTACGTGAGTCCCCTTACCCCTTATGTTTGGAATGTATGTCTGACAAAGCACGAATAGAACGAATAACCAAAATTTGAAGCGCGCCAAGGAAATGAGTCCCCTGGTCTCTTACGTTTGGGATGCTTGATTTACGTGAGTCCCCTTACCCCTTATATTTGGAATATATGTCTAACAAAGCACGAATAGAACGAATAACCAAAATTTGGAGCGTGCCAAGGAAATAACCTTCTGAAACCTTACAACTTTTGTCTGAAACATTTTCCTAAAAAATTTTCCTTTTTTTCGAAATATTCAACTGTTTCCACAATTTTGGCACTGTATATGATACATGTATTTTTGTCGTATCGTCGTTTCGTGATTTCTCGTAAAGCTTGGATTACGCGGATACTTCGAACGATTCACACGTGCATCTTGAGATAAATATTATCCTCCGTCGCGATATCAACCAACTTACCGAATTTTATAGAAAGACATATTACGACATCGGTGTTTATACAGTAGAAAAGCCAGTTTAATTAAATATTAATTACATCGCGCGCGTTAATCCTTGTGTCAATGCACGTGTACCTGTTTCGAATTGCACGCGCAACGTTTCAGACTTAGGAAGAAAGTTAAGCGGAGAAAAGCAACACTGTGTACGGAATAATCGATTGTTGCGCAAAATACATTCGCAGGATTGCAAAATTCATTATTATCTCAAAGAGGAGAGAATGTTACTTTAATGTGTTAACAGCATTAATACAAATCGATCAGAATTTACGTGTATCGATAGTCCCTGTCCAATTTTCCCGTGCACGCGAAGCAAATATAATTCGCAAGTTTTCATGCGCTTTTACCCGAGAATACATATCGCGTCGATACGCAGGTATCAATGTTTCTATTTAGCATGAACCGTACTGACGCACATGGAGAAGGGGGACGCATGGAAAGTGTGTACTATTCACCGGTCGATCGCCTTTTGCATGTCTATATATACTGAACGAATCGCGTTAACATACGACACGACGAGTACGACGACACGAGTGTTTCTCGTCGTGCGAGTAAAATCTTTCAGAACAATGTGAAACGTACTAAGGGCGGTATCTCGCGCGTTGTATTTCGCTTTCGACTTCTGCCCTGGCTTTTGCGCGAGCGAGATTCCGCGTTTTCTTGGTGCACATTGCCATTCTTGTCACAAGATTAATTCTTTATCGTGTCGTAGTGTGTATGCGAGAGCTGTGCATAATCATACAGAGATTATATAGTTTTCACAACTGTACATTCATCTCGGCGATACTTGAATTTTTAATCTCTCTGTATAAATTGTATGCCGATGTAAATCGATATATCCCGACATATCCCGAATTGAAATTGGACTCGAGCGAAAACAAACTGATATATTCCTCTTATGAGAGGAATAACCTTTCATTGCGAAGCAATTTCGGCAGAACGGTTACTCGACTCGTTATTACGCTCTACTTTGTATTACGCTATACTTTTGTGTGACAGCACAAAACCGGTAAAACGTCCTCGCTACAGTTTCCGTACTTTCCCGAGTCACGTGGATCGCGACTACTGCGTACTCTAATCGCACCTATGTCCAAGGTGCTCGTTATCTCACACACTCGTTAACTCATTTTCATTCCTCATTTACGGTCGCTCGCTCGCTCGTTCGCTCGCTCGCTCGCCTAATCAGGAGCGGTCGGAAGAATGGCGGTTCGATATGACTGTGCAACGATCGTATGTGCAGAGGTCATTACCGTACAAACGTAGAAAATGACCAGTTTTCGAGATGCGCATCGAGAGATCTAACGCGATGATAGTCGAATAGTCGAGTATACTTGCGTTTTAAGGGGGAACTGCGGCTAAATTTGATCAAATTCCGATAAAGCTAATCGGCAGACTCTCCAGCATAGAAAATTAAAGATAGTTTTTTAAGGAGTAAGACGATTCTCTTGTTCTCTCTTTATAAGTTGTACTGGCAATTTCGGCGAATTGCCAACAGAATCAAGTAATACTTGCTCCGTGTTGCACAAAATTACTAGCTTTTTCCTTTTTTTATCATTGCTGGACAACAAATTGCACAGCTAGAATTTGCAGTTGACTTACAATTCTGCCGATCAGTCGTCGATTACTTCAGTCGGAATTTTGTGAAAGTTATCCCGCACATGAGAATGTAAGTTACATCGCGCGGTTCGTTGCAACGATAACATTGTTGTCGATGCCTAATAATTCTGGAACATTCTCTTCGCTCTTATCGCGCGAATAAAGATGTTTTGCGAAGAATACCAAATCGCGCAAACAAACGCAATATATAAGCTTATCTCGCTATGATTTGCATGAGATCTGCGAACGGGAATAATGCCGCGCGTGAAGAATATTATATGTGATTTTACTTTAGTCTACAGTATTTTATCCTACCAAAACACTTGTTGACTTTATGCAAAAACTCCGCGAGTCAATTAATTACGTGCAACTGTCTCTCGAGCCTTAAAACAGCCACAATAACAGTCACAATAAGCCAACACTGATTTGTAAACGAAATAATTCTTTCTCGCGATTATGCGTATCCTATATAACATGTTATATTATTTGCGTCAATCGTAAGATTGAAAGAAAATTTTCCCGCGATGACCCAGTTCGACCGTGGAGATTTTCGTGTTTTTCGCGTTTTTTCGTCGACGATCCACTGTCCGCGTTAGGGGCGTTATGGGTCGCTTCAAAACAAGGTTACTAAAATCTTTTCGCATTTACGCGATACATCGAGAACGATCAGAGAGAGAGAGAGAGAGAGAGAGAGAGAGAGAGAGAGAGAGAGAGAGAGAGAGAGAGAGAGAGAGAGAGAGAGAGAGAG